AGGAGTGAGGGTCCGCCACTCCTCTAATGTTCCACACCAAAACATTAAACATGGTCCATGACACCCTCCCCTCTAATAATCCTAGAGGGTAGGTGGCAGTGCTCACCTTCTGAGTGATAAGTGACATCAGTAGTATTTGATTGTGGTAATTTCGGTATTTCAGATTTCCTTCTTCCACGTTTTCTACTGTATCTCTGAATTTGCCATTCGGATTCAAGGACAGAGACAACAATTGCTGTAGGATTCTGCTGTGAAGAGATAGTGTGAGTGGAGGGATCAGGAGAGATAGTGTTTTAGATTATAGTTTATATTTACTGAACAATTACAGCTAATATAATATATTCTGAAAACATTTACATAATGTGTTTATTTGGAAGTTTAATTTTCTTTAAATATCGATTATCCCTAGTACACTTGGCTCATTTGATGATAGATGATTGTTATATTTCATCAAACTATCAATTTCTGTTTATGTATATAGTAGGTGTAAAATTAGTAATATAAGAAAGCTCTTTAAATTTTTTTATCTTAAAGGCTCACGACAGACTTTTGATGAATTTTCATCGGATAGTACAATATTTCATTTACGATGGAAATTTATTCGGTTATCTAACCGACCAAAATTTCTGGTGGACATTCCTATTGAAAATTCAAATGACTTATTTATGGCAGAAATGCTGCAGGAAATTCCACCAGCATTTTTTTTTGGCGAATAAGCAGAAAGACAGGCAATCCTTCCACACCTTTGCCGGAACTTTTCAAAAGAAATTCCCTCTGAAAATTCACAGGAATATTGTTACGATGGATGGATTTTTATGTTGTCTGAATGCATTGTCAACAAAGAATTTTATGGCGGCAAAATTTTCATTGATAACCGTCCAGTAATAACATTTTACAATAGAAATTCAATGTTTTCCAAATAATTTTCGATAGGAATTAGCAATTTTCATGTAATATTGAATTTTTTGTACATCTACAATTCTGTTCCTCAATATAGAAGAAAGCAAATTAAGTGGGAAGTATAATGTATTGCATTGAAAAAGGCATACAGATCATACCAGTGGCAGGAAGGACAAAGATAATTTTATCTCTGAAACTTTGTCTTTTGAGGACTTTGACCTGGATTAAAGAAAGCGAATGCATTGAGGAGGTTTAAAGGCTAATGTCAAATTAAGGAAAAAAAAGGTAGGAGTAGAAGACTCGCTTCAAATTCCACGAAGCCTCCAATGCCAGAACCCTCCTTTGAAATTAAAGTGACAAGTAAAAGGTCTTTCGCGTTCCAATATAATTCCAAGTCTACAATATATAACTAAAATTAGAGCAATTTGATAGCAAAAATCCTCAAGCTATGAAATACTATCGCAATAATTTCAGCTCAGAACCTGTATTCCCTGTTATAGTTATCCTGCTCTGATTGCAACTACGCGTCAAGTTTAGCTGCATCGTACCAGAGCAGCAAAATTATTAGAGAAAATAAAAAAAGAAAGTTCGGTCTCCTGAAGTTTTTTTATGCATAAAAGTGCAAGCCTTTTACTTACAATGAATAATTTTAATACCTGTTCAATTCCAATTGAAAATCCTCCTACAAAAAGTGCATGAGCGAAACCCGAAACATATGGAGCTTCTTTTAGTGAAGCAATAATGGAAACATACAGGGAGCCTTCACTGTTACTGATCTCTCTTGACTGCACAGCCTTCGATTTGGAGAAGTTAATTTCCAGATGCTTTGGTGTGTAAGGAAAGAATAGGCAATAAGGCTCGCCTAGAACATCATCAATCCATGGCTTAGCATACCTGATGTGAATCAAATTTTTACAACAGTAATGAATCAGAAGAAAATACAGATCTTACTTATAGATAAATATTAGAAGCAACATACCCAATGATAGGTGGATCAACCCTACACTCAAATGGAACTTCAAAGTTATCCCCAGAGTATTTGTATTTGTAAGCACTGAGATCACTTAACATCAAAGAAGAAACATAAACGAGTAAACCCCACTGGCCATCCAACCGAAAGAAAAAAAAAAATTACTTGCTAATAAGACTAATGAGAGAAACTGAACAATATGCCACCAAAATAAACCACACTTGCCAGCGCAAACCCAAGGTGAAAAAGGTAATGGGTGATGTTAAATCAAGAGTAAAACTAAAGCAAATTTACCAATAGCCATGAAATAAATTCTCAAAACTTTTTAGAAAAATGACATTACATAAGGGTGACACATTGACAAGTGCCTAGATTACAGAGAGTTGTGAGCAAGAGTTGGCTTTTATGCTATTTGCAAACACTACAGATAACCTAATTATAATGTAAAATTGGTAAATATTGGCTAGCAAATGACATGAAGGTAACTAATCACAACTTGATCAATCTGTGAAGAAAATGTTCTGACTAATAGCTAGCTTGTTTTGCCCTTAAAGGTCATCTACTCTCTCAAATACATAAAAAAAAACTTCGACTTTTTTTAAATTAGAATTTTATAACTAATTAGTAGTGAAAGAGACATGATAATGCAGAACATAAGACTGCATAAAAAAAAGCATTAGATCAAGTTACTATAATGCACAAAGGGCAACAACTATCCTAAAGAAGCAAATGATGTCGACATTCAAACAACGGTCAAGTCTAAAATACCAAAATTATCACGATCTTATTATATCTCGCTTGTAATCCAGAAATCTAGGAGAATGGAGAAAGACTTTCCTCTGGTTAGTGCTTCGATGAGAAAATACCAAATTAAATCTTTTATTCAAAAAATTAACTAAACAACTAATAGATTCCTAACAAGGAACTAAACATGAACCATCAAAACTGTCTAACTTCAGAACTGAAAATTGTAAAATTGGTGAATATGTAGTATACCACCGAGAATGAATAGTAATAGTAGCAAGATCCTCAAACGACCGGCAAATAACTACCTCAGATAAAACTCTAGGATAACGTGAATGTAATAACCAAATTTGTGAAATCAAGTAAAAATTTTGGCAGCTTTAAAATGTACCACAAATTTCGCTTCCCTCAAGTTTCAACTGAATCAATTATATATAACTTATGATTGGATTGGGAAATATAGAAATTGTAACCTATAAGTTTAATTAAACTTAATTAACCCTTAATTACCCCTCCCTAATCCCAGCTTTACTGTTCCCAACCGACTCGAGATATTTTAGCATTGGGATGCATCGAATGGAAGGGTCCTCAATCTAGAACCTTCGCATTTCTTCCTTCCCCTCTCCTTATTCTCGGTTGCGCTCGACAGAGGACACTACGAGAAGGCTACGATTGTGACACTGTAGCACATGCACAATTGCAGCACAACCACGATTGCAGCACAACCAAGTTTCATAGCTCACGGTTTGGACTTCTAGGACGAAATTGGTGTGTATGAAATCCTACCTTCACATTATTTGAGGCATGCATTTTCTTCCTCACTTTCATTTTGAGATTAGCTACGAATCATGCATCGTTTTTCATTTTCATTCACCGTAGCAGAGAAGAGGTTGTCTCGAAAGAGACAAAATTAGTTTGTGAACTTCTGTAAGGGTCTTAAGCGAGAAATTAGCGAAGATTGAAAAAGGCTGAAGTGATAAGAAGAAAAGAGAAGAAAAGCAGGCAGTTTCGGTGAAGGTTGGACTATGCCGTGAAGCTTGTTTGAGGTATGCTTCGACAAATCAATAATGTCTTGGTTAAATCACTTTATAAGCCAAGATATTATGAAATCCTAAGTTATTTACAGATTTTAAGTTATTCACCCGAGGCGGCAAGCTCGTGGCAACCGTGTGAAAACAAGTCGTAAGACAACTCTGTAAATTCAAGTAAAATAATACTATGCTAACTTAAGAAAAATAATTTGAATAATGAAAATTGCTCGAGTTTTAAAGTTTGATTTTTGTTTTATATGTTATTAGTATCAGCATAAATGTTATCACAATGTTCAGTTAATTATTAAAGATTAAAAATCTAATGTGGAAACCGAGGTGAGTAATTACATTTCTAAATTTCAATAATCTTCTTTATTTCAAAATATATGCTTTCCTCCATTAATGCTCTAGTTTAGTTAGATCTTTCATATTGTTAGAAATGAAAGATATGCAAGATAAGAGATGATTAAAATATATATATGAGATAAGAGAAATGTATGATGATTCGTTGCAAAGCAGAGTAAGTATACATGTAAGTAGACGAATGAATATATCTTAGAAGAATGCATGCTATAAAGAATTAAATAATTTATATAGGAATGTTTGTATGCTTGTGTGTGCATGTTAAGAGTATGAGTTCACCCCTGAATGATACAAACAGGGGACGCAGTGTACCCGTGCACATAGTTTTTATATCACCCCAAATAATTATGATTTTTCGCTAACTAATCGTTATGTTAATGAGAGAATATTGACCAAGGGTGAGTTGACAAAGCTTACCACCCTAAATAAAAGTGATATTTAGATCACTAACCACTGTGCTGACGACAAAATATTGACTAGAGGCGAGTAGAGATTTTTCCAACCCAGAATATCACAGTCAGCGTTGCTGTAATTTGTAATATGATGAAAGCTGTGACTTAGATGATCAAAAATTTTGAACCTCAAGTTAGTAACTATGGAGGAGCAGCAATGGGCAAGTACTTGAAGCTCTTTGAAGTTATGAGACCACATTTTTTTTCTAGAGCAAGAGAGCCAGTGGAAGCTGAAAATTGGTTATTAAAGTGAAGAAATTTATTGATGGGTTGTCATGTCCACCGGAGAGGAGAGTTACCCTTGCCATATTTACTTTTGAGAGGAGAGTTGAAAGATGGTGGCAAGATCAAATATAAGAGAAATTTGAAGATAGAACAAGCAACTTGGTGCAATGGGACGAGTTTGTCAAAATTTTCAGAGAGTAGTTTTTACCACCTTCGACCAGAGCACAGATGCAAGATAAATTCATTAGGTTTGTGTAAGGAGATCGATCAACTATACAGAAAGAAGAGAAGTTCACTATGTTTTCTAGATATGCACCCAACTCGTTTGAAATGAAGATGAGAAATGTCACGGATTTATTTATGGATTGAAAGATTCTATCAGGCAACCACTAGCGTCACTTGGGATTAAAGACTATTGAGTGCTAGTGGAGAGGCCTAGGCAGGAGGAGATTGATTTTCAGCAGACTTGGAAGCAAATAGATTTGTAAGCAGAGATTGAAGAAGAGTTGATGAATTTTGATACCGAAACATTATAAGGAACAAAGATTGTAATAACCAATTTTGTGAAATCAAACCAAAATTTTAGGAGCTTTAAAAGGTACCACAAATTTTGCATCCCTCATATTTCAAATGTATTAATTTTATAAAATTCTAAGGGTCAAAACAATCAATTGTATATATAATACTATGTATAAATTATGAAAGGATTGAGAAATATAAAATTTGGGAGTTTGTAATATAAATATTTTATTTATGTTAGGTTTTCAATTTAGAAAATAAGAAAACCTAACATATTAACAATATATGAAAATATGGCACTAAATAGGACACGTGGAGAAAAAGGATTCATGTAGCCGACCCCATGTAGTGGATTAAGACTTTGTTGTTGTGGTAGGTTTTTAATTTAGAAGAACCGACGTCAAGCCAAATCAAATAACAAATTAATCGACATCAAGATGAGTAATTGTATTTTTAATTTATGATAATATTTTAGTTCTTCTTGACTATTTTGTATTAGCAGTTAATGATACTTGTACAAGTTTTATTTTATATGATAAGTTCTTTACCTTACTGGTCACATTATTATGGATGTTATTATCAATCAAGAATGACATAAATCAAGCAGTTGAATTAGGACTTCCTATAATTAGGAGTTTCCTTATTTAAATCATTTTCAATTTCTCTCTCCTGATTTACCTCTCTTGTTAATTGTACATATTCTTTCGTTATAGCTGAATATATTTAGCTTAGGAACATTTATTAAATTACTTAAAATAGATTGTACAGATTATTGTTTAATGGAATGAAAGCTAAGGGAAAATGCATTGAGCCAATTTTCTCAAAAATTGTTATGGTATCAGAGCAATTGGTCGTACCCTTCCCTGCTTACTGTGACTCAATTCCTCTGTCTTGCACATAGAGATCGCTCACCACTCTTTTCTCTCTGCCCTAGCCTTCGCTGGTTTAGACGAGTTCCCATTCCTTGTGTGCATGAATCGACCGATCTTCCCTCCCTCAATTGGGATTCAATTAGTCAAAGCCTTGCATCATTCATGTAACGCAACCCTTCCTCACAGTGTCGAGCATTCTTATCCCTACTGTGATCTTCCTTACCCCACGAGATCGCCAAAACAGCTAGCCTCTCCTCCTGTGCAATCTGACCCAGTTTCCCGCCCTAGCGTTTATTAGTCTCGCAGAATTACGTTCTTTACTCGCATAACTCAGTTTTCTTTGGTTTTAGGTTGATTAGTTTCAATCAACAACTTTGTTGATATAAACTTGTGAGTGACAATCCTGTTTAAAATGTATTCTGAGAAAACACATGAAATCTTAGCTATCAGATTTATGAGAAAGAATTATGTAGCATAAGAATTTCAGTTCAAGATGTTTTTGAAAGGGAAGGAGCTTTGAGGTCATATTGATGGGTCTTCTCCAGCACGTACATAGACGAAAGACCTTGGCCAATGAGAGGAAAATGATGCTTGGATTGTTACTTGGATTTTGGGATCTATTTAGGTTCATATGGTGAACAATTTACGATCCTTTGGCACAACTAAAGAAAAATGAGAATACGTGCGCGTTTACAATCAAGATAATACTGAAAGACGCTTTCAATTGGAATTTGATATAAGTAATTATAGTTAAGGTAATCTCTCAATTAAACAATATTATTCTGGCTATCTTAAAATATAAAGTGAATATTCATGTATTATCTATGCTAAAATGTCAAAAGAAAATTTAGCTAGTCTTCAGGCTATTCATGAAGTGAGTCGTCGTG